AAAAAATAATATAAAAAATTTATTCCTAAATATATATATATATTTTCATCTAAGTGGACAAATCAAATATCAAGTCCCTTACCACGTAAAACTTAGATGCGCCACACGAGACAGTCCTCCAAACAGCAGTTAACTGCAATTAGCAGCAATTAAGTTGGCTGTGAGAGTAAAGGCCAAATTGCTTCTATTGCAGAGTTCAGGGGCTTAAATGCTTCAATTAGAGTCTAGGGGCTTAATAGCGATTCTGAGATCGGTTCATGGGCTTAACCTATGGTTTTACCTTTATTGATTCTTTCATATCCCAACAGTTGCATTTTCCGGATTTCTTGCTTCTTGTGCAGCCTTTTATACACGTGGCCCCATTCTTTGGTTTAGTTGGTACGGCAAGTCCTTCCAAGTTCAAACCCCTATTTCCTCGGGATTTTATGCAATTTATCCTTTGGCTTTTCTTTATATTTCAAGTGGGGTTTTCCAAATCTTCTTTCTTGTTTTTTATTTTGACTTCTTTTATCTTTGCGGTTTCCTTTTGTTTTCTTGCTTTTCTTTTGCTTTCTTTTGCCTTTTTGGTTTCTTTTTCTAGAGAGAGGCTTCTTCGATTTTGTGTGCCGGTTGCGTCTGCCATGGCCATCGATCCTTCTGCTTCCAGTTCTTTACCGACTCTGGTTTTTGTTGGTTCTTCTTCTGCTGATGGGGTGGGTACTCCTCTTTCTTCTTCTTCGTCAGAGTTTTTTGATGTTTTCTGCTTTCCCCGTCGTGCAGATGGGAGGTTTGTTGTGAAAGGTGCTTCATGCCATGTGGAGAGGGATCCTGTGATTCCTTCTATCCTTACAGAGGTTCCTTTGGTTTCTTCTTCAGAGGGTGGAAGGGTTGTCCTCCTTTTAGGCTCGACAAACTTGTTTTGTGATCTTGACAAGGTGTCTTGGGTCACCAGTAGTTGTGATGTGGATGAGATTTATAAAAAGAATCTTGATGAATCCGTAGGTTTTTCCTCCTCAACATCCCATGTGTTGCGCAACATTTCAATGCCTTCCTCCTGATATGTGTGTCTACAAGGATCAATTCGCATGCGGGTTGCGTTTTCCTTTGCATCCTTTTATCCTTAAAATCTGTGATGGATTTTCAATTAGTCTACCCCAATTGGCTCCTCGTGCTATTGTTGATTTGTCTAGGATGTGGGAGAGAAGTAAGGATCTGCTGAACCTCTGTGAATTTTGCTTTGGAGAGGTCTGTTTTGGATCTAAGGGTGCAGGTTTTCTCTCTTTAAGCTCCGTCTTCCTCTGTTATTCAGTCTTCTAAGGAGTCTCCTGAGAGTAGAGCCTTTGCTTTTTCTAGTAGCTTGGGTTACTTCAATCTTGCTGTCAAGCTCATCAAGATGTTGCTGTGGAGGTTTATGCTGATCCAAAGCTGAAGAAAGTTTGTGATTAAGGTTCATCGTATGTTCCTTTGGGTAGATCTCTAGTTGAAGTAAAGAAAAGATTGAGCAACTTTTGGGACGCAGAGGATTTTACTACAACTATTCACAGTAGGAGTAAATCTATTGATGTGGAGGTTGTCAAGGTATCTCTCTTGAGCTTTTCAAGCCTCTTGTTGAACATGTTTTTATGTTGCAGTGCACTGGTTGTGTTTTAAGAACATCTGCTTGCTAAACAAATGTTCTGTTTCTAACTTAGTTTTGGTCATGTTTGGTATTGTGACTTTTCACCGAAACCATATCAAGATTTTTCTTAGGAAGCTTTGCTGCTTCTTTATTCATACTATGAGCTTTTATAGTTTTTCTTTATCCTAACATTAAAATTAATGTAAATTTTTATATTTTACTATTTTCATTCATTTTTAGTAAACCTAATTTAAATTTTGACATTTTAAACATGAATTTTAGATAAAAAAAAATCAATATATTATGTAAATAATAATTAAAGGTTTTTTTATCAAATAAAAGTATTCAATAAAAATTTTGTGGGAAGAAAAAACTTTTCTATTGTTATTTATATAAATTGTTAAATTTTTATTTAAAATTTATATTTAAAAAGTTAAAAAGTCAAATTAAGTTTACTACAAATTAACAAAAAAATATATATTTATGAAAAATAGTGTTACTAACTTGTATCCTTAGATTAAAACAATTTTTTTTATATTTCCATGCACTAATAAGCAATATACTGTTCTTCACCTTTGTAGCTTTTTTTCATTTTCCTAATTTATAGTTGTCTCTTCTGTTTGATTTTAATTAATATGTAAAGAGAAAAAAATTGTTTTTTATCTCATGAATTTTTTTTATGGGTGTACATTTGCACCGAAGGTAATGGACATTTTGATAAATAAAAAAACAAGGGTTAAAGTAATAGAAATAATTGAAAAGAGAGATTTGATTTAAGGAAAATGATTTATAAATAATTTTTTTATTATTTTTTATACCACTTTGTTATATTATCTTTTAATGTAATTTTACGATTTATTTAAATAATTTGATTTTTTACTTATTTGAAATACATACATTAAATGTATTTATTATTTAATAATATATAAAAATTAAATAAAAAGATAATACAAAAATATTGTCATGTATTAATGTTCTTGATTTAAAACCAAAATACAAAACCATGGGCTCCAATTAAATCTCAAGTTTGCGGCATAACAAGAAAAATAAGAAAAAATAGCACCTGATTCTTCGAGTTAACTGGCACTCAACCAGTTTGAAGTACATTATTCTTTTCTCATGAGTGAGTTTCGAGTTCGTTTCTTGACAATTTATTTTTAAAAAAAAAAAAAAATTTTGACTATTGACCATGGTGCAATTGACGGTCCAAATTAACGGATATAGAACGGCGTCAAAAAAAGGACGACAATGAACAAAATATAGGGAGTAGAGGGACGACATTTGGTGTGATTTGGGAGTAGAGGGATGACAATGAACAAATCTGTAGTAGAGGGACGGTTATGAACAAAATTTGAAAGTAGAGGGACGACAATTGGCTTTAAACCTATCTTTTTAGATAGTCAGTTAGGGACTTTTCTGGAAAATGAAAACCTGAAAAAAATCATGAAAAAAAAAAGAAGAAAAACCTAGAAACTATAAGTTCCATTTTGCGGTTAAGGTATGCACCTCAGCTCCATAAAGTGGTGCGCCTCTTTAGGGATGTGCCTCATGAACAGTGCCTTGCCTAGGGCAAAAAAGGTGCTGGGTCAGTGGCACTTCGCCTCTTTGATAACACTGAACAGCTTTTTGTAATGCACTTATTATTACCAAAAGACAAATATCAGGTATGTTCCCAGAAATTTAAAAAACTCCAACAATAGCTGCTTGGTTCTTTCATTGTTTTCTAGGAGTATGGTGCTGGACGCATGCTGACAGGTGAAGTGAAGAAGCGGCTTATTGAAGTTTTGACTGAACTGGTGGAGAGACATCAACGGGCTTGAGCTGCAGTGAATGATGAGGTAAGCAAATTTTAGCTCTTACTGGGGTTGAAACATAAATATATTTTCTATGTGACTGATCTGGAGATTTTTCTGATCATATGTGATTAGATTCCAATGATTGTGAAATTACAGCAGTGGCTAAATTCTTCACTGTGGCCAAAAAGATTAGAATCTTCACTATTACTGACCTGAGGTGTATGGTATTTTTATCATCCTTTTGGTTTCAGATGGTGGATGCTTTCATGGCCGTTAGACCCCTTCCAAATATGTTTGACTGAAGTCATGATAATCAACTTGGTCGCACTTGTTCTTTTAGTTCCAATGCACTGGATGTTTCTAAATTTCTAATCAATAGGAAGTAGAAGAAAAGCAAAACGTCAAAAGGATATGATCAGCACCTGAATATGGGTTTGAAGGTCTAATTCAATTTTACAAAAATGATGAAACATGAAGATTGTTATCTAAATATTGATGACTCTTATTATTGGTTACAGAGATGGGCAACATGATTTATAGTATGTAATTAAATTCAGATCGGCGAAAAAGGTATATTTACCCTTTACTTTTAATGATTATTTAAATAAATCCTTATACTCTTTTCCTGTAATATAAATTTTCTCTTATATTTTTAAGTTGAAAAAAATTAACTCTTTTGCATTTCAATGGAAGTAAATTAGTCAAAATTTAATAGTTTACGTCATCATTCTAACTTTCCGTTTCACTACCTTTTAAGCTTCTGTTAATATGGCAATCTTGGACCCATTTTGTTAAAGACAAGTTTTTTTCTTTTTCTGGTATCAATCTAGCTAACAAGAAAGAGTTAAATAATCCCATTGACTATGTAAAGAAAATGTCATGTCAATAAAAATGTTCGGCCCAAATTATCGAAACAGCAAGAACTTGACGGGCACTGAAGGGGAAAAAGATGGAATGATGATGCATGATTATTTCATTTGTTAAATTTTAAGTAATTTATATCAATCAAAATGTAGAACGCTAATTTCATTTAATCTAAAAGTATAAGAGGATATTTATTTCAAGAAAAAGTAGAGGGGTTCATTTTAATAATGATTGAAAGGAGAGAGGTTCAATGCTAGGGCATCAAATCTACTTAGAATCTGAGTCTTGCTAACTTTTAGACAAACAAAAGGTGGATAATGTAAATGTCAAGTTCATCATAGTTATGGTTCTAGAATTTGAATGTGGATCCTAGTTTTGTCGTATAGGTCCGGGGAAGATGTAGTTTGTGATTGTGTCAATTTTGGATTGTATGGAGTAGGGGACTGGACTGCTTTTTTGGTGGGGTTGATCTGTTTTCTCTCTCTGTTGCTTGGTCGTAGGTGGTTCTGGACAGCATTTCAACAATTATGTTTAGGTTTGCAGTTGTTTTATGCATATCAGATTTTATTTAAGTCTGATTTATAAGGAAGTTTTCCTAAACCAAAGAAAGTGTTGAAGTGTTAACCGTTAGTCTAGAATTAAATCTATGTACTTTAGAAGCTGATGGTGGGAGGTACAATTTGAGATTTTTCTTTCACCACGATGTTTTTCTCTGCCTCCGGATACCTTTGAGTTCCATAAAACTTTTATGAATTGTTTTTAAAACAGTTATTGTTTTTCTAAAAATATTTCTTTTTGACAAAACGAGATAGAGAGTGCTAAAGGGTGCGTCACTTGCCTTGTGACAAAAACAAGAAATTCTTTCGAGCAGCCGGCCTTCATGTTGGATGGATGGATGAATATAAATTTAATAAAAAGATACGATCCAAATCTAACGGCTCACAGGAAGAGGGGATGCTTTTCTGCACTATGGTTGGGTTTGGCAACGTTGGGCTATAGCTACAGGTAGGTTTTAACATCCAAACAATATATAAAATATATTTAATATATAAAGATAATATATCAACTCTGGTTCTAAAAAAATTTAAAATATAAATTTTAAATAATATTTTTTCATTTGGTTAAAATATAATTCAAAATTTAGAAATTTAATTTATTAAATGTAATTCTTATATTTAGAAACTGAAAACCTAAGTCAAAATTTAAAAATTCACTTTATTAAATATTAAAACATAAATTTAAAAATTGATTATTTTAAAATATATAATTAATTTTTAAATTAAAATATCAACATTTAATAATATAGATTGGAATTCTAATTTTTTTAATTGAATTTTAATTAAATGAAATAATATCATTTAATATTGAAACTCTAATTTTTTTAAAAAATGAGATTGTTATACATTTTTTTCTTAATATATTTAATATTTATTTTAATTAATATTTAATATATTTTTAAAATAATAAAAAAAACTAAAAATTAATGCACTAAGAAGTATTATTTAACGAAGTTTAAGAGTTATATCAATTGATTTAAGTAAATTAAAATAAGATATCAATTATACTAGTTAGATTAATGAAACTTATACTTGCAGGTTGAAAGCATAGTTTTGAAAATCGAATCGTTGGTCGAATCGATTGAACTGGTACTCAATAGTATAAATGATTTGGGTGCATCTTTCAAACCATTTGAACAGTTAAAACATTTAAAACCGATAAGAACAGTTAAAACCGCTCGAATCAATAAACCATTCGATTGGACGACTTCGATCCTTTGCCATCGGAACAATGCAATCCTTATATCAATGGGTGCTTGAAATTTTATTTATTTAATAGAACTCTCAAAACTTTTAATCAAATTATTGATGACAGTCATCAAATTCGAACACCCATTCTTCATGTTATGGAACAAAAACTCTTCCACTAGAGAGACAACCTTCTATTTGTAATTTTTTACTTTACAATATATTTATTCTATTTTCAAAAGCACAATTATACTAAAGTTTATTCTCAAGAGGACTCGAATTTATGATCTTTTTTATGAAAAATCAACCACCTACCACTGCACCCAACAAACACCATGTGAAATTTTTTACATAATAATATATTTATAGTGTTTTGATCAACCCAGCAATTTTATCAATTAAACCAGTTAAATTGTTCAAATCATGAACCAAAAATCAAAATGGTTTGATCTCTAATTCAAATTTAAAAACATTAGTTGAAAGTATATTTGGAGACTAGAAAAACTACATTGACGGATCTAACTTGCCAGCAAAAAGGTACAATGGAAGTGTAAATTTAAAATCCTAATTTCAAGTAAATGATTAGTGATATTTATGAAAGCTTCAGTTTAGAAAACATGCTAGCAGAGAGCTTGGTTATTCAAAAAATTGATGTAAGGCTATGCTGGGCAATTTCATGAGAAGGAAGCCTGGAAATGATTTCTGTCAAGGAAGATAGCATTTTGCTCTTTGTTTGAGTCGAAACTGGTGGGGAAATCTTTCATTTTCTATACGCTTTTGCAACTAACTATTAGTGGGCAGTCTAGACCCACGTCTCGGCTGAAAATAGTTTCAATACTATTAGCTATCTTGATTTTAAATTGGCAATTAGCATATAATCACAATCCAACCTAAATTCATTCTTCACGTGGTATCCATCTACACGATGCATCAACCTTCAAATCATCATAGAGTTATTAGTCACAAATAGTGGCAAATAGTTGAAAGGCCAAAATCTGCAATGCAGTTCATTAGTTTATGTTTTGTTGGCTTATTTTATTTTGAATTTTTAAGTTTTTAGTTAACAATTGTATTTTAAAGTCCCTTTAACTATTTAGGATAGATTAAAAACTCATTTTAAGAAAGCATATTTTCCTCTTACAAATCGTTTGAAGGGACAAACTTAACTTTAAACTAACAGTTTTTTTTGTAATTCTAACAAAAGTTGACCACTTACAAGAAAATGGTCGTTAGAAAAATTCTACTTTTTTATTTGGCAACAAAGCAATTGGTATGCTCCACAACTTAAGTCCACTACGTGCGTGAAACCACCTTGAAATTTTTTAGGAAATAATAACTATTTTTTTTTATAAAAAATTATTGTTTTAAAGCATTCATTGACTAACAAGTAGGATTGAAAGCTTTGATAAAAATTATTCCAATTACGCTCGCACCCGAATATACCAAATGTGAAGCTCAATCTTAATGGCATGATTTCGCTAATTTGAAGCTAAAAGTCCAAACAATGTTCACCATCCAACTTTAATAAAATTATGAGTAGTATTTAAAATTTCATAATTTTCTAATTTAATACTAACAAAACGACAACATTTTCTAAAAGTTGTCATGGTTATTTCTTGCTAGGAAGGCTTGAATTTTCGTTTTTCCATTTTTTATTTAATGCTAAATCCAATGAACTTTTGTGCTTACCACACAAAAGAATGTTATGGCAGCACAAATTTTAAGTTTTTTTTTTCTTAAATAGTTGATTATGATGTTCAAAAATATTAATTTATAAATTAATTTAATATGTTAAAGGATTAAAGCCCATCAAAATCCTTCAACTTGTCAAAATAGTTCATTTTCATCCCTATACTTCAAAAGAAGTCATTAAAATCCCTAAATTCGTAAAAGAGACCAACCGTGGTCCCTTTGTCAACTTTAGTTAACGACAATTTTGACGTGTGGCAATAACGGTGTTAACTATTAACTTTTATGTTGATGTGGCTTTTATAAGGTATTTACATCATTAATTTCAAATATAGAATATTGAAAATCATCGCAATAAATAAAAGTTTCCCTCTTGTCGTCAACTTAGGGTTTTCTCTTTCCCAACGTCTGAGCATCTCACTCAAGTGCATCTCCCTGTTTTGAAGGGTTCTCCTCCACCTTCTTCTCTCTATCCTTTTCTATCATGGCCTCTGCTACAATCCTTGCTTGGAACTGTAGGGGTTTAGGTGTGATGAGAACCCCAAAGAGAACAATGAGACCCACAGCACGACAAGGGATTTCTAAACTCCAGGAAAGCTAAATCAGGTTTATAATAGGACCTTAACCCGTTGTTTATGTCGCAACAAGAACCAAAGGTAAAAACCTTGACCCGTTGTTTATGTCGCAACAAGAACCAAAGGTAAAAACCTTGACCCGTTGTTTATGATGCAACAAGAACCAGAGGTATAAATTTGGTTGACGCCACACCCTCGAACGATTAAGAACGAGAATGATAAGTCAGCTTAGAACGCCACAAGAATAATCTTGATAAGTTCTGTAAAGTTCTGAAACGAACCAAAGAGAAAAGTCTCTCAAAAATGCAGATTCAATAGCCTCCACCCCATTAGGGTTACAAGCCTTTTAAATAGAGAAAACAAATCCTAATCATAATAGAAAACTAACACCCTAAGTCCTAAACCTAATAACCACGAATTGGGCTTCAAATAAGTGAGTGTTCAACCCAAAAATAATACAAAAAATGTGAAAATCACTAAAAATAACCCAAAATAACACGAAATATCAGTTTGCTACAAATTGCGGCAGAATTGTGCGATTTTGACGCAAACTGTGTAATTCTATGCAAATGACCACAACTAAGCTTCTCTTGAACTTGAATGATGTTTACCATGCCTTGATAATCATACAAGCTTCGATTTGCTTGTTGTATGTTGTTATCAACCCAGATCTGCTCAATAAGGCCATTTAAAGCTTCTCGCATCTTCCTAGCTCTAGCTCTCGTGATTGGACCTCCTAGAATGTGTAATGGATCTCTCGATGTGGTACATGTGGGGTCATCTTGATTCCCATCATTTCCTCTCTCCTCAAAAGGATTTGTCCTCAAATCATCACCTACATCAAAAGGAGAAAGATCAGAAACATTAAAAGTAGCACTAACATTATACTCACTAGGAAGCTCCAACTTGTATGCATTGTCGTTTATCCTTGCAATCACTCGAAATGGTCCATCGCCTCTTGGTTGCAACTTAGAACACCTTTGTGCAAGGAATCGCTCCTTTCGCATATGCACCCAAACCCAATGTCCAGGTTCAAACACAACTTTCTTTTGCCCTTTGTTGGCTTGATTTGCATATTGCTCAATTTGTTGCTCTATGTTTTTCTGCACCCTCTCATGTAGTTGCTTAACCACTTCAGCTTTCTTTTTCTCATCCAAACTAGCTTGTTCATCAATAGGTAATGGCAATAAATCCAAAGAAGTGAGTGGATTAAAACCATATGCAACCCCAAATGGCGAGCAGTTAGTTGTTGAATGGATGCTCCGGTTATAAGCAAATTCAACGTGCGGCAAACACTGTTCCCAATTCTTCAAGTTCTTCTGAATAATAGATCGCAATAAGGTTGACAACGTCCTATTAACCACTTTTGTTTGTCCATCAGCTGCAACAAAATACCCTAAAAAGATAATCTGATTTGTGCAAAAGAAATACTTTTTAAGGTTAGCAAACAACTTTTCTTTTCTTAGAACCTGAAGTATCATTTGCAAATGCTCAATATGATCAGTTAAACTCTTTCTATATACCAAAATGTCATCAAAATAAACAACCACAAATTTGCCAATGAAAGCACGCAAAACATGATTAATTAATCGCATGAATGTACTAGGCGCATTACTTAATCCAAATGGCATAACTAACCACTCATATAAACCATGTTTTGTTTTAAAGGCTGTTTTCCATTCATCACGTTCCTTCATCCTAATCTGATGATATCCACTCTTTAAATCAATTTTAGAGAATATGCAAGAGCCATGCAACTCATCTAACATGTCATCTAATCTAGGAATAGGGTGATGATACTTTACAGTGATTTTGTTGACTGCACGACAATCAACGCACATACGCCAAGTCCCATCCTTCTTAGGCACAAGTAGCACTGGAACTGCACATGAACTCATGCTTTCTCTCACATGTCCCTTTTTCATGAGTTCTTCGACCTACCTTTGAAGTTCTTTCGTCTCATTGGGATTGCTTCGATATGCTGGTCGGTTTGGAATTGTTGCACCAGGAATGAAGTCAATTTGATGCTCGATTC